GGGAACCAATTGACTTCATAAGTCAGTGCTCTACTGTGCTAGTATATGTAATATATTAATAATTGAGATGTTTTGTGTTAGACACTTTTCCATCACTGTCTTAGTTACTTTTCTCTTGTTGCTGAGATAAAGAACCCCACATCCAAAGTTAAAGGGGAAGGGTTTATTTGGCTTACAGTTTGTAGAAGTTTTAGTTCATAGTTGGCTGTCTCCAAGGCAGAATGGCACATGGCAGAGAGGTGTCACAGAAGAGAAATAGACTGTGGCGCCCACACGGTAGCAAGAGCAAACAGTATCTGTTGCCCCTTTTATCCCATCCAGACTACCGAGTTTAGGGTGGTGCCAAACCTATCACTCACCTGTAGTGGTTTAGTAATCACACGCCCTTAATTCCAGCATCACACATTCTAGATTCAGCCACCTCTGAAAAAGAAAGCGCCACCTCATCTATATGAGGCTTTGGGGGGACATCTAAACACAAGTCATACCAATCACTATACTGAAAGTATCTGAGGCAATTAAGTTATAAAAGAAGTCTCATTTATTTATTTATTTATTTATTTTGTTGAAGCAGGGTCTCACTATGTAGTTCAGACTGCTCTGGAACTCACTGTGTAGCCCAGGATGGTCTCAAACTTGCAGCGATCCTCCTGCCTCAGTCTCCCGAGTGCTGGGATTACAGGCATGCACCACCACACCCAGCCTTAAAAGAAGTCTCATTTAGCTCTTGGTTCTAGAGGTTCCAGTCTAGGATCAAGTGACTGCATTGCTTTCGGCCTCTATGATGGTGCTAGTGATAGAGCAGCCTGCTTATGTTATGAGTGAGGAAGCAGAGAAAAGCTGAGAGTCCAGGTCTGACAATCCCCATCGAAGGCCTGCTAAGGACATAAACACTTCCCCCCAGACCCCACCTCTCAAAGGCTCCACCACCTCCTAATAGCGCCTCCTGGGGGCCTAACACTTTTACACATTTGACACAGTCCATTTTTCATAAACCTGTAGGGAATATATATATATGCCACTATGTCTACTTATTGGGCACTTATTTAAAACCCAGAGGGTCATCTGTAATTAAAATTACAATTGGAATTAAATTCATCATGTTTTTCCTTAACTATTTCCTAAGAAGGCAAAAGCACTATGGCCATTTCTCTTTAACAGTTACTAAGTTGCTAACAATTTCCAACTCCAAAGGGAAAAAAATTATTAGTGGTTCACAAAGCTGAGTACAAACTAGTATCACCCCCTGAGGCATTAAAACTACAGTGGCCTCAGAACAAATCAATTAAACAAAAAGAGGTAGAATAAGGTCCTGAGACCCTGGCTTTTATTTTAAAGCTTCCCAGACATTCTAATGAACAGTTAAGCTTAGAAAATCACTATCTTAGTGACTCAAAGATCCTCAATTCCTGGATTATTTCATTCTTTCCTGGTCCTTCCACCTCTTTCTAAATTTCCAGGAAGGAATAAAAAGTTTGAACAAGAACAAGTGTCTCTTTTCTGCTTCAGCTATTACGGCACAATATGTTTTATTTAAAACTTACCTTTAAGCTTTTCTCCCTGTGTGAGAGCCTGGATTTTGGGCAGAGCCAATTTCTCAGGCTCTTGAACTATGCATTTGCCTAGGGCCTGGATGTCATAAGAGCCCTGCGCTTGTTTTATGGCTTTGCTGTAGCTGTTCTACAGCTATTAAGAAATGTTTAAGAAGGGGTCCTAAATATTCACTTTTCACTAACCCCCACAAACTATGCGACTAGTTCTGATTCCAAGCTAACCTAGGAATTACAAATATTTGAAAAAGGACAAGCTGACATTATTTTTGTGTCAGAATAAGTTCTAGAAGGGGCCTAATATATGAAGGGGGGAAGAGGGAGGGAGGGGGAGAAAAGGGGAGGGGGGAATTCCTAAGGACTTCCTACATTTTATTCTCCACCCCCAACTTTCATCATGGCCCATGCTCCTTTAAGTAATAAGAGGTGTAAAGGGAATTATGGCAGTGAGGTGTACACCAGGGAGCAAATAACATTCAAGTTCGGATAACCTGAGAGGAGCTTTATATGCACAGGCTCTGTCTAGGAAGACTCTAGGTGCTAATGAGCCATCCCAGAGGAGAGCAATGAAATGACTGGAAGGACAGAATCGTGTGCAGAAGACCTCTATGAGTAAAGCACTGAGATTTAGGCAAGGGATATAATCAGCTAAAGGCAACCTCAGCCACGTTCTCAGACCGCCTTCTTTCCCTTCTGCTGACTGATAACAATGGGTTCCTCTGGGCCAAACTATCAAAACTTGGGGGTTAAATATCACACAGAAAAGTCTTCTAAGTTGGTTGCTTGGGACAGAAGATTAGAAAGTGAAAAAGGAAATTACTTCTCACAGTCAACTCCTTTTTTCCCACTCAGCACTCATTCTTGCCTTTTGTCTAGGGGGAGAGTTTCTGACCTCATTTAAGAAAATGTTTGACGTTCACTGGAATGTTTACCATGGGGTGAGGTCAGTTCAGTCCTAGTTCCATCTCAAACCTTGTATAGCACCAATAACTGGGCTCTTTGTATAATGATAGGAAAAAAGTAAAACACAAGTTAAATGAGTCACAGCTGCTTCGATTATTTCTATGCCGTTCACCAAAAATTAAGTTTGTAATCACACATTCATTCTTCTACTCCATAAACTTCATTATGTGGGAAGGGTTAGTGATCTCCTTATTGGGTTACTATAGCTTTCTACTTTCTACTTTCTAAGACTCCTGAGCAGGAAGTATGGAAGACAGGCCAGTGAATTCCCGGATGCCTGATGTAATCTTCTTTACTGCCAGCACGGAGGAAGGAGGAATTCAATTTCTCTCTGATAACTAGAATCAATTTTCCGCAAAACAGTGATGCTATTCTTCTGTCTTTTGTTGGTTTAGGAGGGGAAAAAAGCCTAATATTCAATAGGGTTATGGGGAAGTTAGCACTTTTAACTCATGGGAACACAACTATGCGTTATTCCCTTGGGCACAGGAATTTCCAAATCCACAGGGGCCCATCAAAGAGCAAACAAACATGTTTAAAATATGTGTGTGTACCTGTATAAGTATGTGCACATGTATGCATATGTATGTCTCCTTGTGTGTGCATTCTAATTCTTCCCTCTTTACTTAAGGTGAGAAATCTGATAAAGGGGTCCTACAAGGAACTGAACAACTGTGCTATCTCCGGATTGTGTGCATTTGTGTATGTATATGTGAGAGAGACCAAAGAACTCAAATTCATCAAGTACTCTTAAGATTAGTGGGTTTACCTAAAGATTGTTAATGTTGTAATTAGCTCACAAATTTTATGTCCAAAAATACAAAAGCAACAATAGGTTTTATAAAATCCATTATATGAAGAGAAATGAACAAATTGAGCAAGGAAAATGAAAACACAACAGAGAATGCATAGAGTCTATTAAATGATTACAAGTTTATTAGAATTTTAAATAGAGGGAATTTATCAAGTCACTAAGGTTATAAGACTGCCTGAAACATCAGTTTGTTATATGTTGGTTTGCAAAAGCCCAAACTGCCATACATGTCTTCCTTCAATACTAAATATTTGGTTATTTGTAACAGTGAATGATGATTAAAATATACTTAAGCCTCTTTCTTCTACTTTCTGAATCAATTTTACCAAATTTGCTTTTCTTATACCCTCTAGCCTCATATTCTACTTTGCATATCGACCTAGTTTTGTAGACTTTAATGAAATTTTCAGGTTTTAAAAAGGAACACTAAGAATCTGTTCAATGCTATGTTATAAAAATAATATATCTCACAGTAGGCAAATGGAAAGAAATATGTTGGGCTTTAAAGTGTAATTTCATTTCTATTTGACCAATAAAATGCCAGAAACAGGGAGGCAAGCGTTGAGATGGTTCCTTCGTTCATACATTAATTTAATCAATATTTTAAAAAATACTTCCATGCACCACTCCTCTTGGCAGATAATAAGAAAATGAACATGGCTAATAAGTAAACAATCATGCTACTGCTCAAAAGGAGGATACTGGATTTCAGGAAACCTACCTTTAGGCAGAAGTATGCCTCTTGTAGACAAAGGGCAGAAGATGGAATGATAAACTTCATGAAGCAGAAATACGGATTTATGAGCTATTTGCTTTTAATTAGCAGTTAGAACCAAAAGTATATAAAATCATCCATGGAAAGAACATAAAGATAAAAGAGAATAGGACTAAATCGCCCACACCTTAATTTTGGATATATGAACATGTTTTTGGTGGAAAGTAGAGAATGTCACTCAGGATTACATGATTAAGGGAAAGGCCCTGAGAAAGAAAGGCTTAAAGATAATTAAGATGATATCTTGCTATAAAAGTAAAAGTCAGAGAGCATTCGTCTGGTCAGGCCCAACTTAGTGCTTTGAAAAGAAAGTGGCAGCCCCAGCATGCAATAAAGTTCTGAACAAGGCAGGCTTGTTTGTGGAAAATCTTCTGGGTCCTTTAACATCTTTCCAGCTTTGAAGCTGATCTTACATCTCCATGGTACTGATTATTTCCTACATCTGTTTTTCTTTCCCTTATGGTCCTACATCCATCTATAAAAACTGAGATGCTACCTGTTTTTGAAGATGTCAGTATCTGCTGAGCAGTCACTGGACAACTGATACATACACACAGAAAATCAATTTTATATCATTTTTAAATTATTTTAAGTGATGCCGCAATATTGTGAGCTAATGCCTCTACTAATAGTTGTTTCACACTGACGAATATTAAAGTTTTCTTTCAGCAAATTTTCCAAAGCAGTTATATGTAATACAATCCTGAATAGTTTGCAGTAGATTAGATTTTTATATCCAAAGCACTTTCAGTTTCTTTTCTTACTCTTTATTTCTGACAAATATGAAACTTCTAATTTATATTCATTATCATCAGTGGCAGCAATGGCCCAAATGTGGATCTAAAATTATGGAAAAGCCTCTCTATGACACACTGCTTTAAAACGTCATCACAGACTGATGACTGCCCAGCCGCTCAGGGAGCTTCTTGCTCCACCACCTCCAGTGCCTCGGACACTGGAGCAGAAGGGTGGGGACTGCCCAGCCACACAGGCACCTCTGCAGCACGCGCCATCCCTCCTGTGCTCTTGGGCCTCATGGTTGTGCTGGGATCTGGATCCACACTGCAGAGGCACAGGTGGTCAGACAGGTCACTTTACTGAGCTCCAGAAGATAGAACGGAAGAGAACAACTGTGATAAAGGTACATCAGACCTCCGAGGCTGGTAAGTTGGAGGGATCACCACCTTCCATCAGAATCTGGACTACCTTCGGAGGAAAGGCAGCTGGAACCTGCTGTAGAACCTTGCAGAGTTAAACCCTGCAGGAAGTCAGGGAGCGCAACTTGGGCCTTGCAACCAGAATTCAGCCTGAATCTCAGGGGTCAGCCATCGGCTACTTGAGACTAACTGACTTAGTTCTGCACATTGCTGCCTGCATTGTCTATTGTGACAGCAGAGATATACCCTATAAGAGTCTCTTCAAATTTTTTTCTTTCTTTTCCTCTTATTTTTAATTTTTAGTTTTTATTTTTAAAATTTTGTTTTTTCCCATTCTTCAAATTCTTCCTTTCTTCTTTCTTCTTTTTCCTGCTAAGTCTCTTGCTCCCCCATGGTATTCTTCATCTCCCTTTTTGTTCCTGTCCCGGTCCTAATTCAGATTTCTTTTTCTTTTTCTTTTCTTCTCTTTTTCCTTCACTTGATTGACATTAGGTTCAAAGGAAAGAGAGTACAATTTACAGCTTCCCTGTACTGTTGTTCTATTATTATCTTTGTTCTTGAACTCTGTCTTTCCTGCTTATCTTCAACTGTTTGCTAGAGTTTGCATGATCATCCTGTGTCCTTTGGCTTGACTTAAAAGCATCTCCTATTCTTTTACCTATTTATTCTTCTCCTACCCACTCCTTCTCAGTCCCCATCCGAGGGGTAAACTTGCTATATTGAAGAGTTTATTCACTATAAACATGTTTTGCGCTGGTCCTCAATTTTGGTTTAATTCACATGGTTAAAGGTGATAGATTAATAACTACCACAAATGGTCAATTACTAAGCTGTGCTTGATGCTACTGTGTTGCTGATTGTATCAATTGGGGTAAAGGGTTTTGATTGATTTAATGAGCCTCCTTTGTGATATTATGAAAATGAAAGTGTCTCTGAGTCATTAGAGACTCAAAACCTAAAGAGCAGCTAAGTCAGGAAGATCAAAATACTAACCCAGGAATTAAACCAAGAACAGCCCAACAACAAAAATAAAAATGAGAAAACACTTAGAGCCTGGAGTGAGGTATTTCAAGTCCTAAGAGAAAACAACCTCCAACTGAGACTGATGTCTCAGGCAAAACTCTCTTTTAAAATTGATGGGGAAATAAGATACTTCCATGATGAAGAACACCTGAGAAACTTCATAAGTAAAAACCAGCACTGAAAACAATCCGAAACAATATCCTAGAAAAGACAGTAAGGGTCACAACACCATGAGGCCCAACAGAGCAAATCAATTAAGCAAGACAAGAAACTAAAGGGAGAGGGGGAAAAATTGAAAAGAGCCAACAACATGACAATGATAAGTCAGTACATATTAGTTATAACCATCAATGTCAATGGCCTCAATTCACCAATCAAAAGGAATAGACTGGCAGGATGGATTAAGCAGCAAAATCCAACAATATGTTGTATACAAGAAACACACCTAGTTGAAAAAGAAACTCACAGACTGAAAGTGAAAGGATGGAAAATAGTTCTTCATGCGACCAGAGCCCAGAAAAAATTGAGGTAGATATCTTATTCGCAAAGTAAATTTCAAAGAAAAACTGATTAAGAGAGACAAAGAAGGCCAGTACATCCTTGGAAAGGGAATAATCCAAGAGGAAGAGATGACAATCATAAATACATATGCACCAAATATTAATGACCCAAACTATATAAAACAAATATTAAAGGACATGAAAAACCAAAAAGAATGAATACAATTGTAATGGGGGATGTAAATATGACACTATCACAAATAGACAGATCATCTAGGCAAAAATCAACAACAAAAATAGTAGAACTGAGCCAAGCTTTTGAACAAACGGACTTAACAGACATCTATAGAGTGTTCCACCCCAGAAAATCAGACTATCCATTCTTTTTGGCTGCACATGGGTCATTCTGCAAAACAGATCACATACTAGCTCATAGAACATGTTTAAAAATTCAAATCAATCAAAATTATCCCATGTACATTATCAGACCATAGTAAAATTAAGCTGGAGATCAATAATTTAAGAAACCATAAGAACTTCACAAACACATGGAAAGTGAATAACACTCTCCTGATCAATTAATGGATTACAGAGGAAATTAAAGAAGAAATTAATCAGTTTTTACAAATAAATGATAATCCCAATACCACATACAGGCCCCGATGGCTTCACTGCCGAATTCTACAAGACATTTAGAGAAGAACTACTGCCACTACTCTTTACACATTTCAACGAAACTGAAAGGGAAGCAATAGTTCCAAATGCATTCCTGGAAGCAAGTATTACTTTGATTCCAAAGACAGGAAAAGACTCAATCAAAAAGAGAACTACAGGTCAATCTACTTAATGAATACAGATGCAAAAATCCTAAATAAGATACTAGCAAAAAGAAAACAGAAGATCATTAAGAAGATCATACATCCTGACCAAGTTGGATTTATTCCAGGGATGCAAGGATGGTTCAACATACATAATTCAATAAATGTAATACACTATATTAACAGAGTCAAGGAAAAAAAATATGATCATCTCATTAAATGCAGAAAAAGCATTCAACAAAATTCAGCACCCATTCATGAGAAAAACTTCAGAAAATTGGAATAGATGGTCTTTATCTCAACTTGATAAAGGCTATCTATAAAAAACCAACAGCCAATATCATACTAAATGATCAAAAAGTGAAACCCTTCATGCTAAAATTAGGAACAAGACAAGATGTCCACTATCACCACTCCTGTTCAATCTAGTTCTAGAAACATTAGCCACAGCAATTAGACATAAGAAAGAAATTAAATCAATAAAGACAGAAAAGGAAGAAGTTAAAATGTCATTATTTGCTAATGATATGATACTCTACAGAAAACCAAAAAACTCTGCCAAAAGACTTCTAGACTTACTTGACACTTTCAGTAGAGTAGCTGGATACAAGGTCAGCACTCAAAAATCAATAGCCTTCTTGTACACAAATAACAGACTCACTGAGAGAGAAATTAGGGAAACAATTCCTTTCACAATAGCATCCAAAAAATAAAGTATCTAGGAATCAATCTAACAAAAGAAGCAAAAGACCTCACACTGAAAACTACTCCATCTTGATAGCATGTAAAAATAAAATACATAATCATTTCTTGAAAAAATAAAAAAAAATTATCAGATGCTAAGTTAATGAACATAGCATATCCTTTTGCCTATTTTAACTTAAAAATAATGAAAACTGGTATCCTAATTTGGTTTGATTCAGCTTTACAAGTTTTTTATTTTTAAATTGTTGTCTTGGAAAAGCTTTGGATATCATTTGTAAAGATGACCAATATGAACCAAACATAATGGTGCACACCTATAACCTCAGCACTTTAAGAGGCTGAGACAAGAGGATCCCTAGTTTGAGCTTAACCTGAACAACTGAGGAATTTAGTGAGACGCTATCTCCAAATAAAAAAGAACTGAGGTTGCAGTTCAGTATAAAGGCCCTGGGTTCAATTCCCATTACAAAAAACAAAACAAAACAAAAGTAGCATATATGCTATTGTTTCATTTCTCCAATAAGAATGTTGACTCTTAACAACTAAACCATTTTTGGCTTTTCTATCACAACACCAGATTCACTACAAATTCTGACATTTTATCAGGCCTTGTAAACACTGATATTAAAAAAACTATTTAATGACTTTGCCATTGTTATGAAAATTTTATAGCATTTTCACCATAAAAACTCATGGTTTAGAAAATGTATGTCCAGACAAAAACTATCACATGGATATTTATACCAACTTTACTCATAATTGGCCATATTTGGAAATAACCAAAATGCTCTCCAGTGTATGAATGAGTAAATACATGTACTACATCAAAACACTGGAATATTATTCAGCACTGAAAATGACTTATTAAGCCACTGAAAGACATAGAGGAAATTTAAATGCATATTGCTAAATAAATGGAGGCAGTCCATGTGATTTTGACTATAATATATTTTGGAAAAGTCAAAACCAGAGAGACAATAAAAAGATTAGTAATTTCAGGAGTAAGATGGGAAAGGAGGATGAACAGGCGCAGCACCAAGAACCTGTAAAACAGTGAAACTTCTCTCTGTACGATACTATAATAGGGCATCCATGTTGGCTCACTGGTCCAAACTTACAGATCATACAACACCAAAAGTGAATTTAATGTCAACCACGGACCTCAGGTGAGAAAGCAAAGGCAGGTTAATCAATTGTATCAAATGTACCATCACAGTGGGGGCTGTTAATAGTTTGTGAGTTATGAATTGTAACATAAGGGTTATATAAGAACTCTGTTTTTCACTATTTTTCTGTGAACCTAAAAGTACTCTTAAAAAGTCTATTTAAAACCAACAAACAAGACCTCATATGTGTTCTTTTCCTTTTCCAGGTGGAACATTCTTATATTCACATTGAAAGTAAAATGAATTTATTAAAACAGCCATTTCCTTCAAGGTTAACTCAATAATAAAATGTTTTCATTGATAACATTTGTCTTTAAATGTTTTTGATGGATGAATATTCATGTCACCTGCCTTCTTTACATGGTAACACTATCCTTTCTCACCTAGTACTCTTTTATGTACTGTTCCTATGACCAACTTCCAACGTATATCAGAGCTCAAAAATAAATAAATATCATTAACTCTTGGGACTACAGAGTTTCACTATAAACACAAAGTCACCAATGAGGGCTGCAAGCCATTGTGTTGTTTCATCCACCTGTAAATACCTGCTAACACACACATAAGAATAATTGTACTTCCATGTTGACTGCATTTTATATCATGTAACATCTAATGATGTCATCTGAGAGGGAACTTTTCATGTTCTCTTCTACCTCTGCTTTGAACATCAGATTTTATCATTTACTTACTGTCTGGTTTCAATATCTTCTCTATATTGATGCATCATTCAAAGGATTTCCAAAAAAGAGTGATACTTTGATTTTTGCCACTGCAGTTTGGAGCTTCATGCA